AAATTAAAAAATTTGACAGTATAAAACTCGCAAGGATAACAAAAATAATCAAGGATTTATTTCCATTGGGGGCCCTAATATTTTATTTTTTTAAAGCCTGCTGTAAGATACAGTAGGTTCAGTCATAATTAAACCCTGGGGGAAGTGCACCCAAAAATTTCCCTCGCACCATCATTACATTACTACAATTTAGGGAGAGCATAAACCCATAGGTCTTCACACGACGCCTGAGAGAATGGGAGGCACTGAGGTTCAGGTCCAATCCCTTGGATCAAGAGCCCCTCGGCACTATCAAGAACCTCTCTTAGAGGGTTTATTTTTTGGTTATTTTCTTAAAAAGAAGCACTTCCCAACAGTTCTTTGAACTGTTGGGAAGTTGCATCCGGTGGCTTATATACAAGTACAATGACGAAGTTTTGGTTCTCGATTTTTATTGTCGGAACTTCAACTACATCATTTGTGGTGTTTAGTATCTCTTTGCAAATGGGCGACTCTTTGACATACAGGCCAACCCCTCCCCCTTGTTGCCTGTTCTTTCTGTTGCATCTGAAAAGGTTGTATCCAGGTATCCATATTTTACAGTCAAAGTAATCTTTTGCGTGGGTCTCTGTGAAGGCTGCAAACAGTGCATTCGACTCCTCTAGAAGTCCACTAATGAAAGGTATTTTGTTTGTGGATGGCTTAAGGCCCTGTATATTAGCAAATATAAATGAGGTTGTGTTGCATGTTTGTTGTTGGCATCAGTAGCTGTGAGCCCGGAGGGGCCATTTGCTGTGCCTCCAGTCCAACAAGGCTCCAAGGTGGTGTACTATTTTGGTTATCTCTTTCCATTTTCACTAAAAAATCACTTGGGGTGTTGTCATAGCTACCATATCTACTATGATGTGTTGTATGGGGTGTGTGCCTCCTGGTCCCTTTTAGATGATATGCAGTGCAATTGGTATCGTAACATTGTTTTTCAAGGACTGAAGACTGACACATCTCCGGGTGGAAGTATTTGCAAGAGGTAGAACGAACACTCCCTTAGACAGGAGGTCACGGCATTTTTTGGGATGCTCAAAGTTGCATGCCCCATTCGTTTTCCCTGATATTCCGTGTTTACAGATGCCCCAAATATAGTATTTGCACCATTTTTTTTTTTCAAGAAAATAGCATTTTTCTCAGTTTTATACTGCATTACGAGTGTATATCAGGGTTCGTGAAGTGGTATATAGATTCTTTCTGGGAATTCTAGCTTCAAGGTCAGTGTTATATAGAATGGGTTAAGTAGGTGCAGGCAATTGTTTGCATTGTGGGGAGGAGGAGACGGCTTTTCATGCTGTATATTTTTGTGAAAACTTGGGGGTTGAAAGGACATGGTTAGCGAGGGTCCTAGGTATAGTGGCAGGGGGAGGGGAGAGAAACATTTTGACTTTGAGGGCTTTGCATTTTGATGTGGGAGGGGTTTCCAAGGACATTCAGAGGGCAGTGATGTATGTGGTGGCAGATTTTTTGTATGTCTTGGGGTATGCGGGAGGTGGGGGGTGACTGTAGGGTGCGGGCGCTTGCGGCAAGTGTATCGTACGGTTTGCAGGAATAGGCTACTATATGGGAGGGTGTGGGTAAATAGTTTTCCTTTGGGTTATCGTAATCTGACGGTAGGTGTAATGTTAGGGTTGGGTGTAGGTTAGAGCTGGGATGGGTTATTTTCCCTAAACTGTCACTTTTGCTTTGTTTTGAGACCCGTGGAGAGTGGAATGTGGAAAGAGTGTGTGGTAGTGGAGTATGTGGGTGTGCAGTCGTTAAGCATGAGGGGGGCATAGTGGGGGGGTGAACTGAAGACATACAGTTAAGAGACTGGGGTTTTGACTTTAGACTTCAGGTACGGGCATGAGTATGAAAGGGAGAGTGAGTTTGTGTAGTGTCAGGGGATGGCGGGGGGGGGGGGGCTTTCTAAGTGTCTTGGGCCAGGATGGTTTTTTGTTTGATGTAGTACTGCTCTGTTAAGTTGGTATTCCTGTACAAACAAGGATTGGAAATTTTTTACTTCATGTGACAAGATAAGTCATGATTTGTCTAATTTGTGGCCATTTACTGTTATGGTTATGTTTTTTAGGTAATGTGGTTATGTTTTTCATATTGTGTAGAGGTGGAGGGGGAGTTTTAAGGCATCTGTGTTGCAGCACAGGTTCTTAATTCTGCATATTACAGGTATTGAGTGATATTTATGAGCCGAGCAGCGGGTATTAGTTACATTAGCATTGGTGTAGTATTGTTGTGTGGATTGTATACTGGGAGTTTTTTGTGAATGGACTGCTTGTGGCCATAATTTTTTAGGCTTTTATTCATTTTTGTATTGTGATAAGTTTTAAATAAAATATAAAAAAAAGTACTGCTCTGCATATGTGCTACTATGTGTGTTGAATACAGTCTTAGGAGTTTTGCTCCTGTGTGGGGCTGTATATGTTTTACTACTGTAATAGGCATTTTAGGTGGGGTGTGCCATGGTCTTCCTGTGAGGTTAGGCACTCACTAAGATGATTGCTGTTTATGATGTGGACGATTCTTGCTACTATACTTGACTACAGGAAATCCTTTATAACCATTTTTTTTTTGTTTTTGGCGAATCCCGTTGTTAGAAACCAAACTGTTACATGTTTATATAATGTACTTACTGATTAATTGTATTTTTAGTTTTTGTAAGCCATGAGGCAGTTATAGCCTTTACCTTTGTATTAAGGTTTAGGAACAGATGTACCATTGTAGTTTTTTATGCTTAATGTTCTTACATGATGTACGTTTCATACTTTTGGATAGCATTGTATGTGTGTTAGGGTTAACGTAATTTATTGTGCACTCTTGTGGTTCTAATTTTGTACTTCACTACTCCGATAGGGTGGGGAGGCTGGCTGGGGTATTGTTTTACTAGGATGTGGGCAGAGCAAAAAAAAATAAACAGATCTGTATGATTTTATGAAATTACCATTAGTAAAAAACTAATTCATGAGATAAACATTTTGTTACTGATAGTATAGGTTGGTTTCACAACTCATCTCAGTCATACCAGCAATACAGTGACCCCCGGTTAACGATATTTTTTTTCACTCCAGAAGTATGTTCAGTGTGAGCCAGTACTGACCGAATTTGTTCCCATAAGAAATATAGTGAAGTAGAATAGGTCCATTTCAGACCCCCAAACATACACGTACAGAAACGCACTTACATAAATACACTTGCTAATTGGTCACATTCAGAGGTAAAAAATCCTTTATGGCGGGGGTCCAACTGTAAACAGTAATTTACTTGTTACAGATTCCCACTGAATTTAGGGTACTGACAAAGGTGATCTGTTATTTCAGCAAGTGCAGTGGTTATTGTGAATGAAGTATATTTAGAAATTTTATGACCATTTTATGAGTGAATTGGTCTATAAATTGCCGTTTTTTATGGCATTCAAGCCAAATATATAAATGCAAGGAAGAGAGACTGATCCACTTTTACAAAGTTGAGCAATTTTGTTGGTCTATTATCACTGGTATAAACTACCATAGGCATTTGTTTAAAGAAACTGTAAACCATTACCATAATTTTTTTGAAAACTCTACCTTACTGGAAGTTTTCTAGACCACACGATTTAGTTCAAACTAATCCATTGACGTCCAATTGTATATAAACTCACTGATAAACAAGGGTGGGAAACATTACCCAATTTTGCCAGCAACTAATTTAATTCAGATAAGGCAGCTCATGTGCTATCAGCACGCATGCTTAATTTGTAACATTGTTCAATGAATCTTTAGAAACCAGAACTATTTCAACAATGCTTATGACAGCAAGAATTAACCCCAATACACAAGGGAGGCAATCCAAACTGATGTATATAACTATAAGCCAATATCCAGCTTGCCATTACTAAAATATTTGAAGAATAAATTCATAAGTGAATCTATTCTTTCTTAGTGTCCCCTAATATACCTCAACCCAGCTAGTTTGGTTTCATGCCACAAGAAAACAGTACAAAGATTAAAATATAAAAATGGCATTTTATGCAGCTGTTGAAATATAGTGAATATCCTTAGGCATCTTCATAGACATTAGAAAGCTTTTGATACAGTGGAGAACACAACATCGCTGCATCTTAAACTAGAACTTTAGGCATTAGAGGTCTACTCTTGCATACTTAGGTCTTATTTTAGTAGCAGATACCATTATAGATCACTGCATAGTGGTGCCCCCAGGGGCAATCCTTACAGCAATGATCTCCCCTTTGCATCCATCTACTTGAACCTGTTCTGTTTGCAGAATGACACAAACTTCTATCATCTTCTTCCCACTCAAATCCAACTTCTCACATACAACTCTGTTATTGAGGAGGTTCTTACCAGATATCTACCTGATTACTACCAATACTCTCTCGTAATACTCCAATACTTCTACATTTGTTTTGGATTTGAACAGAGCTACAAATGTCCCCACCAAATATCTGAACAATCTGGTTCCTCCCCATTGTTTAAGACAAACTGAAGGAAAATTCTTAGGTTCTGCACTTTGAAGTTTAGTACCCCAAATCCAGCACATGAGTAATCCTTTCTAAGACAAAAACCCGAGCTGGTTACCACCCCTAATCAATCCTTACCTCACCTATGGTATTTGTGCCTCGTATTTGATACATCTGTTCTTTAAAAAACCAACAGCATCCCAACAAAAAGCTGCCCTCTATAAATGATTACCAATCTGGTGGCCAACAACAGGTAATTAAAGCAACCAAATCCACTTGCTCGGGTTAAATTTACTGTTTTCACACCTCTGTTCAAAACATTTCTGAGAAATTTGAAGATCAATAAAATCAACAAAATTATATGTAGTTTTTTTTAAGTAGCATGAAAAACTTATTATTGCCAAAATATACTGCATAATTAGTGGCTTCTTTTGTGCCTACCATTACCTTTGACTAATTCATGTATAACACGTACTGTATTCCTTGAGTATAGATAAAAGAAATAAAAAAAATTATTATTACTATTTATTTAATTTACCAGCCTCACGAAGTCCCATTAGCACTGAATATGAATACACTAAACTTTTTGCTGAATGAGACACCTGTGTCAACACTTGGATATCAGATACTGTGGAAACTTGCACACCCAACCATGTTTATTTAATCCATAAAGAGAAACACAAACGATAATGAGAGGGAAGTTTGAGTATCAGTCCCTCAGCCTAGAAATTGCATTTAGTTCACCAGCTTAACAAAAGTAAGCAAGGAGAAGGAAGCTAATATACTAGAGAGCATTTACTTTCCAGTTTTCTCTAAACCATTATATAAATAATACTTGTTACACAACCTCTTGGATCACTAGCAGACTTTGCCCACCTTGTGATGAGCCACCTCTAACTGCTTTGCCTCCCCTGTCTCCAGTAACCTGTCTGTGCCAATATGCTGTAGCTTTTCAAGCTGATTGTGACTGAACACCATCTCTAACGCAGAGGGACTTAGTCCTTCGAATCCCTCTTCACCTTTCTCCACCATATTTTCTCTGTACAGATTGAAAAGAGCCACTGGTTGGGCAAAATGTTACCACAATAAAGATTACCCGAGTGTTGCAAGCAATTGTCTCATCACTTGTTAGTTTCCAATTCATTTATATAATACTAAACAGTGTATACATACAGCCTAAATACTGTAAATAGTAAGGTCCTTTCCTCAGGCGTCTTATTACCTTCAGTGAGGTGCAAAAAATCGTGAATGTCTGAAAGTAAGGCACTTCTGGATGCAAGTCTTCAGCCATGATGGTGAGTTTGTCAGCTTCCTCATTATCGCTGAACTATAACCTTCAGTGCTGACTGAAGGCCCAGACACTATACACTTTACTATCCTTCTTACTATGCTCTTCAAAATATTTTTTTTCAGATTTCTTTTGCTGCCTTATGTTGCATCAACCAACCTCAATCTGGTTGATGAATTGTTGGCGCTGTTTCTGTGCCATCTGCCACCAGGTCATTATTCGTACTCAGCTGGTGATGGCTTCTGACAGCTAGTATCAAGATCACACAACAGCTCTTCTGCTTCATTTCCCATTCCCTGAAGGAAACTTTGGCTAGGTCTTGATGATGATTTAGTCTTCCAGTGATACTATTAGTTCCTCCATACCATACTCACTGGGAAATCTGAAATGGCTCAGTAGCAATGTGCAGGGTTCATCTGGTGGGTAGGACAGCTTACCTCATCTTCATCATGTTGGTAAATGCAGACTGAGCAGAGCAGAATGGCTACATGGCAGGGCATTGTGGTCTCAGTGTTCCTGGTTGTAACTCTCCTGATAGACTACACTCTTCAGGACTGTTGGTAGTCTGTGGATCATGTGTAAATGCAAGCTAATTTATAAACAGCATTTCGTTTTTCTTTCCCCATAAAAATTAACTACTCAAATAAATAGGTATAAGACAATCTGCTACAGAATGAACAGTATTTAATTACAGTAATGATTATGGTATATGCATGCTCTTTAATAAAAAACAATATAAATTATAAACATCATAACAAATACTGAATACAGTCCCAGAATTAGCAAAAGTCAGCCACCCAACTGTACCTCACTGTTACTATTTTTGATATAAATGAAAGGTATATGTAGGCAATTCAACTTCTTACCATGGCTGTAGAACATGTTTAAGAACTGTTCAAGGGTGTACAAAGATTGTCCAGGGGCACGATCAAGATAGTACAGGTAAACATAAATACAGTTATATAAGTTATCAAACATAGCAATGCACATGTGAAGATTACACTGGGAATCCTAAAAAAAAAGTCAGTGACCATTTCCATTGAGTCCAGATATCAGCAGGAAGCATTAAATTTCTTGTACATACTTAAATCGTTTTTTGAGAATTTATAATACTACAACCAAGTAATGTTCCCATTAATCTGAAAGATTAAAAAATTGCATAAATAATTTAAATAACATATGAATGTGGTCATTTCTAGAAGTGTACCCTTAATCCCCAGAACTTTCTTGCTCTTTGTAGAAATGCCTTCCTCTACCACGATTTGTATATATTTTGTAATAAAGATACAAATCATTTATATGACAAATACAGTATAGTAAATTAATGAAAGGTGCACTGAAAATTAGTAATATGTGATGCATTAATATAGACAGGATTAGTGTTTTTTTTCAATTACTTTTTCAATTAAAATTGTATGTTACCTGTAATTTTTTAGCTTAACCATAGGACTTGAGTCGAGCCTT